GAAGATGAAGAGATTGAGGTGGTGCTTCTACAAGCCCAGGAGTGCCAAAGATTGCCAGAAAACCACCAGCAGCCAGCGGAGAAGCCCCGAACAGGTTCTTCCTTGCAGTCCTCAGAAGAATCCAACCCTGACGATACTTTGATCTCAGAATTCCAGCCCTCAGGACTGTGAGATCATACATTTCTGTTGTTTAAGCCACTCGGTGTGTGGAGCTTTGTTGCAGCAGCCCTAGCAAACTAATACACCTCCGGAGATGGCTCCGATTGGCAGGGTCAAGGAGGACAGCTCTGTGCAGATGGAAGGAGGCACTACAGCTCCACAGAAAGGGTGGGAGATACTTCAGAACCCTGAGGCGGCTCAGTAAGACTGCCTACCTTGTACTGTCCTGAAAGAACAATTTACTCGAGATCCCTGAATTCTTAGGAACTTCGTTTAGTAGCCATAATTTTATATCTTTTCGTGTTTCTTTGTGATTTTCTTTTCATGTGTGTCCATGTTTTGTTTTCCCAATTTGACTGCAAACTCTTTGAGGGCTAGGACCACATTACAAACCAGAATGAGAGGACCATCTCTCCAACCAAGCTTCTCAGTGTGATCTTTGGCACGCCACCTTTCCTTTCTGGGCCTGGTTCCCTCACGTATATAAGAGGATTGTAATTACTAAATTCCCTCCTGTGATGATATTCTGGGATTCTGACTCCACACATGCTTATTATTAAACCAACTGCCTTCTTGTGGTACAAAATAGAGAGGCCCAGGAAACTCATCTCTTATGTGTGCAGTCATCTGAGGTAATGGAGTCAGCTTCTTTAATAAGGGACTGGACCCCAAAGTCATGGGGGACAATAGAGTACTCCAGGGGTTCCAAGGCCCACTGGGTCCCCTTCCTTGACTCTAAGGCCCTCCTGCTTAGGCATCTGCCTTTCCTGAAGGCCACTTTCTTGGTGATCAGTGAAGCTTTCTCCTCTTTCAATGAAGGTGCATGGCCCTGGGTGCTGTATCGTGTGCGCTGGGCACCATGCCCATGACAGGGTTGGCCTCCTATGTGCCTTTTACAAGCTTCCTGTCTCTGCTCTGGGGATTGGAGGAACATTGTCTTTCCAAGTGGTTACAGTACCACTTGGGTAAACCATTTTTTGTGTCTTACCTTGGAAGGGTCACAGCATGCCACAGCTTTCACTGTTGAAAAACTTGGACCTAGTCAAAGAATATTTAAGAATCCTCCAAATGGCAGAAATCCCAGGGCCTGGTTACCTGTGTAAATTATGTTTTTTTGGTTTCAAGAAATTGGCACTCACACAGACAAGTTCAAGTAACAGTGGGTAGTATAGGGATGGAGGCAGGACATTAGTACAAAGTGGTTATAAGAGGGATGGAATCTCCTAGAAATCTAAGACCAGAAACCCCCCAAACAATGACAAGCTTCATAGAACCTGGTACTGGGAAGTCATCCGAGGTCTGAGGACCTTGCTCTGGTGCTCTGCCACTAATGCAACCCAGCTACTCCCCAGGGGCCTGCTTCTCTCTGCTTCTCTTCCCCCTATCGGTTCTCTTAGTGTTTTCCAAAGCATGCCTCTGGTAGAACACGAGACACTTTATTATTAGTTATTACTGTGAGGGCAACAGAGAGAGGAAGGAAAACCCAGATTCCAAAGGAAACAGCCCATTTCTCCCAAGAAGCCTGAGGTCTAATAATTGAGCTGAACTGGTTGAAGTTCTACCAACAACCAGTTGAATGAACTCAGACTAGCTGGACACTGCTTAGCCGTGTGACCTTGGACAAGTCCTTGCCCTTATTTCCTCATTTCTAAGCTGGAACCCTTGAGCTGGTTTTGCCTTCCTTCAGGGTTGGGGTAAGGAGCTGGGGCCTGTCCTCCACACTCCATCCTAATCGCTGGGTGGCACTAGGCACATTTCTTCACCACTCGTGCCTCAGTCCCTCCATGGTTTAGATGAGAGACTTGAGCTAGGTGATTTTTACCAATCCATCCCTTCCAACTCTGCGTGATTCTAACCATCCTGTCCCCTTGCGCCTCCGCCTATACACACCCAGTGGCCATGGTCCTCAGAAACCTTCCCTCCAAAAATCCCATGATATAGACAAGAATATTACATGTACCCTGTTTTATAAGATGTGTTTGCAAAAAGTTGCATTCATGTCATGCTTTTATGACAAAAATTCTATGTTCTCTTCACCCTGGCTTATCTGGTTGGAAATGTTTTCTTTTTACTTAATATTGATCGTCAATAGGCTGCAGTTACTCACTCTTTGATCTTTTGTTTAAACACCACCCACACTGTCTGCCCTCAGCGCCCCCCCTCACCCCACCCCCACCCCCCACCGTCTCCCTATTAAACAGCAGCATACGCAAACAAACTCGGAGGTGCTCTGGGAGCAGAGGGACCCTGGGGCCGGCCTCCTACAGGCCTGTGAATTGTCATTCCTGAACCCGTCTGTTTTCTAAGTTCTTCTGCCAAGTTTCTATGGGAGCAGAGGGATCATTTTCTCCCTTTTCAAAGAGCAGGGTGAGTTGAGGCCTCAAGCTGGCAAGTACTTTAAAGTCATTTTCAAAGGAAACCTGAGCTGAAAGGCCATGCAGCTGGCAGAGGGTGATGTGACTTTCTGAGGCTCTTTCTGGGGTGTTGGGTGGTCAGCTCCCAGAGGCTTCCCAGCATGTGCTCAGAGCCTGCTGCAAAGGCACTGCCAAGGAACACCACTGTCCAACCTGTGGGCCCTTGGGCCCAGGGACAGGCTCCACTCCATGTCCTCCGCCCAACTGCCACCGAGGCACAGGAAGGAGGGGTGTGGACTTTATCCACCGCTCCAGTGACTAGAACCACACTTGTCCTCACTGTTCTCAGTCCTGTCAATCAAACTTGATCCTTGGGGTTTTTTGAGTTGAGATAAAACTGGGCGCCGAAGCAAGCTAGGATGAACTTATGTCTGAATCAGGGAATCATAAATGGTTCAGTCCATCTAATCCTGTCATAGACAGGTTGGGAAGGGGACCCAGAGGGGAAATGGTTGTCCCAAGTTCACCCAGGAAGAGGTGGCTGAGTTCCACTACAGGGCTCTTTGGACAAAGAACACCTCTGTAGAGATAGAAGTTTGCTTGGCTACTAGCTATTCATAAAGCTTCTGAGTTTACAGATGTCTGTCAATCACCCAGCAGACACCAAAAAGACTCAAAATGCCCAACGCTGAGAAATGTATGACGGGGGCCAAATGCTTTCATACTGCCCCATGGAGCCACGTGAAAAGAAATTGTAAAGCCAGGAGGCAAGATAAGCCTTCTGACATCACAGAATGGGTAAATTGAGGCCCAGAGGAAGAGAACACTCATAAATATTTGTGTCAGAGAGCTAGAACTGAAGTCATTATAAGCTCATCCTAGAGCCAAGTGAGTGGTCCATCCAAAATCCCCCACCTGGGCTCTTCGTGGCCAGGGTCTGGAGTCTGCAGTCCCTCCTGGTGCTGGGAGCCAAACGTGAGCCCACACCAAGCTTCCAGGAGCGAGCCCCAGCCATCCCAACGAAGCGCCCCTCCGAGAGCATTTCCCACGAGGTGAAGAGCTAGACCCACTCAAGCCAGACCCATTGACGTCCCCATCCAACAGAAGAAAAGACCTCCAAAACAAGCCAACTTGACTTTTCAACATTTTTATTCTTATATTTGTACAGCTATATTTTACAACGCAGTAATGCAGTTTAGACACAGCCAAACTCTGTCTCCGGAGTAGTTATAACACAAGCATGACGCAGAATGGGATGAGACAAACGTTCCCAAAGAGAGTTTAGTTAGTGACAACTTCAAGTCCCTGTGTCTGCCTACACTTCAAAAAGGGATGGCACACACTCGTCCATCACTGAAAGGCGGATGTACGGTACAGCAGTGCTTTTATGACAAAAATTCTATGTTCTCTTCACCCTGGCTTATCTGGTTGGAAATGTTTTCTTTTTACTTAATATTGATCGTCAATAGGCTGCAGTTACTCACTCA